GCTTGGGATAATGTGCAGGATGAGGACTATAAACAGCCTCAGTCTGCTGCTCCCATTTAAATTTACCAAATCTTGTTCCTCCCCTCCATCATTTCATCCATCTTGAGTAGTTTGACTCTAAATATACACACAGAACTGCCAGAGCATCCATCCCGATTGTCAAGCCATCCGTCCCCTTTTTAAAATGCCCACCTCCTCAGCTCTACAAGCCGCCTACTCTCCTTGTCTATCTGAGCTCCACACGCTTCAATTCAAAACTTCCATCTTCTCGGATACATCACTCACTCTCTATCTTCTTGTCACTCCCCCAGCCAACAATAACATCTTGACCAAACCCGGGGAAAGAGCAAATTARAAAGCCATTTTAGCCATTTAAGCAACTTGAGTTGTTCCTTCTTTTCTTACACACTCAGTATGCACAAACTAATACACATCCAACAAAACAGTTCACATTAAAATCAACCAATTACCAACCTATCCAGCTATTTTTTTTTTGTGCTGCCCTGACTTGGCCTTACTCCCACACCCACCCACTACTTTGCTTGTCAAAAAAGACAAACAAAAAAACTAAGATCTCAACYAAGGAGAAACAGAACAGACCACATTACATTCCACTTAGCTCCCTTGTCTCTCTCCATGTAAGACAAACGCAAAAATAATTTGCACGCACTTTACATTTTTTTTGTCTATATGAGAACAAACTGCGCATGAAAAAGGAAGGGGGCGCAGAGGGAGGCAATCTTGTTACCAGCCGGCATAGCCCTGGGAAGATTTCTATCAGACACACGTAAAGAGAGAGGCATCCATTTAGAAAATGGCTTTTCTAGGCACGCTGGGCCATTTAGCACACCCTGTGACGACTCCTGTTTGGGGCAATGATAAATGTTCTTTCACACACAGTCTGTGCACACACTGTCAGGCCAGCACACATGCACACATGTACACACGTGCACACACAGCCATATGGGCACCCCAACACAAGACATCACTGTGATGGACACAACATTTTTTAGAGAGAAACACTGGCTTCACTGAGTTCTGCTAACAGAGAAAAGAACACTTGTTGAGTCAATTAGTTAGAATATAAAGGGATACTTCAGATGATTAGAAACAGGGTTCTGGGGAGAGTTTATAAACAATTAATACTGCTTAGCCTGTTAGCTTTAGCCTTAGTGCCGACCCTATATTGCCTTATATGTATTAGCTCGGTGCTAGCGCGACAAACTAACAAGCTAAACTGAGGTCCTCCATCCATATTTTCAGTTGCAACTGAGTCATTTTTGTGTTCCACTCTCTGTCATGTGGATGGAGGACCTCAGTGATGAGAGGAGAATGTGTAGTGCTGAGCTAATATATATACTGTATATGGTGATGGCATCAGGGATAATGTTAAAGCTAACAGGCTAAGCTGAGGTTCTTCTTCCATGAAGCAGCTCTGCTGTCCTCCATCCATATTTTCAGTTCCAGGCTGAGTCGTTTCTACCTTCTCCTCTCTGTCAACGCTCTCTGGTTTCATTTAAAGGAGACCAATTATGGGTCCTAGAATTTTTTATGGTATGTCTGTGGGCTATCCAGACCATGTT